GAGAAAGCAGGTGCACACAGGGAGGGGCAGAGGGAGAGGGAAAGAATTTCAAGCAGACTCCCTGATGAGCATGCAGCCCAGAGCCCAGACACAGGGCTTGATCTCACAACCCTGAAATCATGACCTGAGCTGAAATCAAGAGTTGGACGCTTAACCGACTGAGCCACCCAGGCACCCTGGTGTATCTTTTTCTTTCCCTTCCCTTTCAGTGTATATCTTTTTTATATTTAAAATGCATTTCTTACAGGTGGCACATAGATGAGGTCTTGCTTTTTATACATTCTGTCAGTCTCTGCTTTTTGACTGGAGCATTTAACTCCTATTTTTCTGACTGCTTTTAAGAATGTCTTTTTATCATTCTTTAAACACTTTATGATGTGCCTTGTAGTTTCTGTCACATTTACTGTTCTTGGGGCTTATGAGCTTCTGAGATCTATATGTTTATAGGTTTCATCAAATGTAAAAATTTTCTGGTCATTATTTCTCCAAAAAGTTTAGCTATTCCAACTGTACATATATTAGGCCTGCTAAAGTTGTCCCACAGCTCATCAATGCTCTGTCCATTTTTTTTTTCTGTTTTTTTTCTTATTTTCTCTCTGTGTGTCATTTTGGAGTTTTGCTACCATATCTTCAAGTTCACTAATGTTTTTTCCTGCAGTGTCTAATGGCACAATACATTCTTTTCAAGTTCATCAAGATAGGGCATTTACCATGCCATGAGTCTCAAAAAATTTTAAGATTGAAATATTACAGAGATATTCCCCAAAATTAAATTAGAAATCAGTAATAGAAAGCTCTCTAGGAAAAAAAAAACACAAATATTTAGAAATTAAACATTTCTAATTTTATAAATTAGGAAGTATTTTTAAATGATAAAAATACAATATATCAAAATTTGTGTGATGCAGCTAAAGCAGTGCTTAGACAGAAATTTATACCTTTAATATTTACATTTAAAAATAAATAATACAGCTTGGCTGGCTCAGGTGGAAGAGCATGCAACTCTTGATCTCGGGGTCATGAGTTTTTTTGTTTAAATTTTTTTATTGTTATGTTAATCCCCATACATTACATCATTAGTTTTAGATGTAGTGTTCCATGATTCATTGTTTGTGCATAACACCCAGTGCTCCATGCAGAATGTGCCCTCCTCAATACCCATCACCAGGCTAACCCATCCTCCCACTCCCCTCCCCTCTAGAACCCTCAGTTTGTTTTTCAGAGTCCATCGTCTCTCATGGTTCGTCTACCCCTCCGATTTTCGCCCCCTTCATTCTTCCCCTCCTGCTATCTTCTTCTTTTTTTTTTTTCCTTAACATATATTGCATTATTTGTTTCAGAGGTACAGATCTGAGATTCAACAGTCTTGCACAATTCACAGTGCTTACCAGAGCACATAGCCTCCCCAGTGTCTATCACCCAGTCACCCATCCCTCCCACCCCACCCCCCACTCCAGCAACCCTCAGTTTGTTTCCTGAGATTAAGAATTCCTCATATCAGTGAGGTCATATGATACATGTCTTTCTCTGTTTGACTTATTTCGCTCAGCATAATATCGGGGTCATGAGTTTAAGCCCCACGTTGGGTGCAGAGATTACTTAAATAAGTAAACTTCAAAAATTTTTTTAAAAATAAACAATACAAAATTAATAAGTTCTGCCTTATGAGCAAGGTAAACCTGAAGTAATTAGAGAAACAATGAAAACAATTAAACAAAGCTAAAATTTGGCTCACTGTTGGTGTAGCTGCTATGGAAAACAATTTGGCAGATCCTCAAAAGGTTAAACACAGAGTTACCATATGATCTAGCAAATCCACTCCTAGGCATATATACAAGAAAAATTAAAATATATGTCCACACAAAAACTTGTAAATGAATGTTCATATCTGCATCATTCGTAATAGCCAAAAAGTGAAAACAACCCCAATGTCCATCAAATTATGAATGGATAAATAAAATGTGGTATACCCACATAATGGAATACTATTAGCAATAAAAAGTAATAGTATGACATGGATAAACCTTGAAAACATTATGCTAAATGAAAAAAAAAAACACAAAAGACCACCTATTATATAATCAATTATTATGAAATATTAATATGAAATGTCCAGAACAGGCAAATCTATATAGACAGAAAGTAGAATGTTAATTGCCTTGGCCTGGAGGAGTTGGGGAAAAAAACAGGTATGTGTCTTCTGGGGGCAATGAAAATGTTCTAAAACTAACTGAGGTGATGGTTGTATAACTGTGAATATACTAAAAGCCACTGAATTAAACATTTAATTGGATGAATTGTATGGTACATGAATTATATCTCAATAAGTCTGTCATTCTAAAAAAGTTGGATCACTGAGATTTTTAAAAAATTTTTATAAACTCTTCACTAGACTGATGAAGAGAAAGTGAACAAAAAAGAGAAGACACAAATTACCAATTGCAGAAATTAAAGAGGAGCTTTCACTCCAGATCTTATAGACAATGAAAATAGGGCAGTATTATAAACACCTTTATCCAATACATTTGACTTAGAAAAATTGGACCAATTCATCGAAATATATCACTTAGCCGAACAGACTCAAAATAAAATCAAAAATTTGAATAGCCCTAAAATCATTAAAGAACCTGAGTTAATTGTCAAATACTCCACCAAAGAAAATTCCAGGCCAAAATGGCATCACTGGTGAATTCTATCACATTTAAAACAAAACACAAAACAAAACAAATATATCAATCTTACACAAATCATTCAGAAAATAGAACAGTAGGGAACACCTTTCAACTCTTGGTAACTTTATAGCAGAGAAATTTCACAGCTATCACCTTAATGAAAAGATCAAAGTAAAAATCATTAGTAATAAGACAAAATGAAATTGTGTACCACCTGATAGGATGAAATACCACTTTTGTGATAATCCTGTCAAAGATATATAACCTGAATTGAATTGTGAGGAAACAAGACAAACCTAATTTGAGGGACATTCTACTCTTCAAAATAGCTATCCTATAATCTTCAGAAGTGCCAAGGTCATGAAAGTCAAGGTAAGACAGGAACTGTTTAAGATGGAAGGATACATGACAACTATATGCACCATGTGATTCTGAGCTAAAGCCTCTTGCTATAAAGGACATTACTAGACAATAGGCAAAACCTGAATGGGATCTGATGATAAGATGGAATTAATGTATCCATTGTAATGTCCTGATTTTAAAAGTTGTATGGTGGTTATATAGGAGAATGTTCTACATAACTTATCTGGGGATGATGGAGTATCATCTCAGCAACTTACTTTCAAATAGTCCACAAAAATAAAGGTTTTTGGTCTGTACTCACAAGTTTTCTGTACACTTGAGACTGCTTCAAAAAGGTTTTTTTAGGAGAGAGAAAGAGCACTCATGCACACATGAGCAGACGGGAAGGGCAGAGGGAGAGGGAGAGAATCTTAAGAAGGCTCCATGCTCAGGGCAGAGCCCAACAAGGTGCTCGATCTCACTACCCTGAGATCATGACCTGTGCCAAAACCAAGAACCAGATGTTTAAACAACTGAGCCACCCAGGCACCCCTAGATTGTTTTAAGTTTTAAAGCCTAAATGTGCGTGCGCACACACACACACAAATACATACATATATACATGACCAGGCCTAACTCAGAGTTAATAAATCAGAATCTCTGGGGATTATATGATTTATGTTAAAGAAAGTCTTTAAAGTGTTCAATATATTTAAATTCCTTATAAAAAAATTTAAATAATTCTATATTCACAATGGCAATGTTGAAGAAAGCTGACTGTATGACATTTATTTTCTTTTTTTATTATATGTGGATTTTATTTATTATATCAGCATTTTTTAAAAAAAATTTATTGTTATGTTAATCACCATACATTACATCATTAGTTTTTGATGTAGTGTTCCATGATTCATTGTTTGTGGACATTTATTTTCAATACAGATAAGGATGCCACTGGTCATTCCATCATTCAGCTGTTCTACTTAACAAGTGCTGCCTTTCAGTCAAACTAAATAAAAGTTTGTCTGCCACCTCAGTGCATTCTGAATTTCTTGTAGTATTATCATCAATTAGGAACGTTGTGGGTCTGATCTTTTGTAAATTCAAGCCTGAAGATGTCTACTCATGTAATATGAATAATCATTAGATACGGTTAGTGACTGAACTTTGAAACCAAAGTATTTATTTTCTAAGTTTTGGATAGGTTTAACTGAAGAATATTCTAGTATCACTTATCTATATGGATGAGAATGTTCTGAATTTCATGCAGCTAGACAAAATAAGAGAGATAAAGTAGGTGTTCAGAATGAGACAACTATTATTCATAGCTCCTGATTTCAAGATTCTGTGTTCATTAATACAGTTTTTATTAATAATAGGCTTTATGGTAAATAAATGTTAATGTGAACTTATAAAATCCATTTACTAATAAAATGTTATTTTCACCAATTTTTTATTTGGTGTTGTGATGTGAATTTTTTTTAAAGATTTTATGTGAATTTGACAGTGTTCCACTGCTTTAAAAAAATCCAGAAGACATTGGAATTTTTTTTTTTTAAGAGAGGGAGAGAGAGGGTGGGGAATGGCAGAGAGAGAGGGAGAGAGAGAATCCCAAGCAGACTCTAGGCCCAGCACAGAGCCCAACATCGGGCTCGAACTCACAACTCTGAGACCATGACCTGAGCTGAAATCAAGAGTCAGACACTTAACCAACTGAGTCACCCAGGCACCCCAAGACATTGGAATTTAAATAAAAACTTTAAAAAAAAAAATCTGAAAGACAATGCTGGATTAAAAACTGCTAACCATTTTAACTGAGACCAAGAAATCCACAGACCTCGTGAGGACATGTTCACCACTGTAATGGCTAACTGCTTAGACACACTGAAAAGTATCTGAGATGGTTATTCAACAAATATATATATACACACACAAACTTTTTATCCCCAGAGAATTTTGCACGGCATATTTTATCGCAATACTCACTGGTGCTACGATTTTTCCCGTCTGTCCAACTTGCATGTCATTGGGAACAAAGCCAGCATCAACAGCAGCACGAGAAGCACCAACTAAAGAGGAAAACATATTTGTCATTTTTTTTTTAAGCTCTTCATCAGCTGGTTGGGATATTCACTAATAACTGTATAAAAAGATACTGATAAGTACAATTACAAATTTATTTTATAAAGGCCTTGTTTTAGAAAAAAATCCCCTTCTCACTGATCAAGAATTCTAAAATGAAGTACTAGTGCACTTTATACACAAAACTTCAAGAAATGCCTTCTATTTTAAAGAGGGCACGTTCTGCATGGGGCACTGGGTGTTATGCACAAACAATGAATCATGGAACACTACATCAAAAACTAATGATGTAATGTATGTTGATTAACATAACAATAAATTTTTTTTTTTTTTTTAAAGAAATGCCTTCTATTTATACCCAAGGATTTTAAATTTTAAATTTGGCTGAAGTCCTCTGCTTGCTTTATCAAAAAGGCCTCTAGGCATTCATAAAACATATATTATCATCTGTTTGGGATACCATTATATAACCCTCCTTTATGCAAAAACCTCACAACTTTTGAAGGTACTATGATATCATTATTTCTTGTGATCAGATAAAGATAAGTTACACATAACACAAGATAAATTTTAACCTATCTAAAAAAAAATGAGAAGTAGCCTTGTATCCTCCTTCAGCAGGAGTCAACAAAGAGCCCTGTACTTGGAGTAAGGTCACCCCTCTCAGCAGGGGTCAAGAACGAGTCTCGGGTCCTCTTCATCTTCATCTAGAGAGGACAAGAGGAAGCCACAGACAGTATTCCTACTACCTCCTAAGGCACATAGTCTCAACACTACCTGAATCAGTGAGGATTGGTCACATACTGCCCTTTATTTACTTCAGTCACTACAAGGCCCAGACTCAAAGGTTATCCTTCATAATTCACACACTAATCTCCATAATGCTCTGCATGCTCCCTAATCTACACCCATCTTCTCATTTGTCTAGATGTTCCCTGACGACAATGACTCCCCTGCAGTTCCCTCCAGATGTTGCTCTGTCTGCCACCATCTTCATACCACTGGGCCTGGAGGTGGGACTCTTCACTGACACCTTCTGGAAGTTCTCCCTCCTTCCTCCTTAAAAGCCTTCAGCTTTGAATCTCACGTCGTCAGATCATGTCACCCATTTATTGCTGTGTCAGCTATTAACCATGAGTCCAATCCCCTTCATTTCTCAATGATTTTTAGCTTCTGGGCCATTGCCACTTTCTCCAACACTAGTCTTAATTCTCAGAGATCTCAACACCTGGCCTCTTGGTTCCTTAAACTCTTCTCCAATCATCTATGTACTCAGCCACACCCATGGTCATATCCCCAACCTTTCCATTACCGATATCCCTTGACAATCTCAATTTCCAATGTCTCTCTGTGACCTACTCTTTCCAGCTGACTCCCTTCACACCCAGCTCCAACAATCCTCTGACCTCACTGGGATCTATATTTCTATTCACTGACCCTCTCTCCCACTATGTTGTCTCCTCTTTTTTTTTTTTTTTTAAAGATTTTATTTATTTGAGAGAGAGAATGAGAGACAGAGCACGAGAGGGAAGAGGGTCAGAGGGAGAAGCAGAACCCCCGCTGAGCAGGGAGCCGGATATGGGACTCGATCCCGGGACTCCAGGATCATGACCTGAGCGGAAGGCAGCCACTTAACCAACTGAGCCACCCAGGCGCCCCATGTTGTCTCCTCTTTACCTAGCTTAAATTCTATGATCAATGACTCTAATCACTTCATTGCATACGACTTCAATCTCCTTGCCTTCATCATCACTCTCAACTAGAAAAAATCTCAATCTCCAGTTAACAGACTAAACAACCTCTCTATCTTTTCCTTACCTGTCCCCTGTAGTTCAGCATAACTGGAGAAAAACACCAACACTGAGCTGTGTTAACTAGGTTTTACTTTAAATAAATAGGCCTTAATTCTGTTTCCTAAATTAAAATTTCATATCTTTTCTTCTCTTGTCAAATGTCCAATACTCTTTAACATCCTCACTCTCAGCTGATGACCTCGCTTCCTATTTCACTTAAGAAATTGAAATCATCACAAGCGAATTTCCACATGTTCCAACTAACATACACCCATCAACCTACAGCTGTGTCCATATTCTTTTTTGCCTACTTAAGGACATTACTCCAGCAACTCTCCCCTCCCTCTCCAGCATAATTAATTTTTCCCTCTCAACTGGAGCATTCCCATCAGCACAGAAGCATGCTATTATTTGTCCCCTCTTTAAAACGCCCCTCTGTTGGCCCCATTCTCCCCTAAATACTGTTCATTTCTCTGCTTTCCCATATAGCAAAATCTCTCTAAAGAGTTGTCTGTATTCATTGATTCCAATTCCAGGCCTCCGAATCTTTTTCTAAAAACTTTATTAAGACAAAACACACGTACAAAACACATGCAAATCACAAATGTACTGCTCAATGGTTTATCATAAAGTGAATGTAGTCATGTAACCACCATTTAGGATCACTGTTTTAAGTCCATTCCACTCAGGGTTTTGCCCACTACTCCACTAAAAATGCTCAGTCACCAATGACTTCTAAGTGGCTAAATCAATTAGTCACTCTCAGTCCTCATCTTCCTTGACCTACTATAATACCTGACTAAAACACTTCACTTGGATCCCAAAACATCATGCTCTCTGTCCTGGTTTTCCTGCCTTACTTACCACACTCCTTTTGGTCTTCTTTCTCTCCTTCTCCTCTTTTAATCTTACAGTGTCTAGGGCTTAGTCCTGCGACCTCTTTTTTATCTACACTCACTCCCTTGGTGAGGTCATCTAGTTTCATGGCTTCAAATACCATCAAAATGCAACTGATTCCCAAATTTATACTCCAGCCCAAACTTCTCCAATGAACTCCACATTCCTGTACCAACAGTTTAATTGACATTTCTATTTGTATGTTTACTGTTAAAACTTAATATGCCTAAAATGGAATTCCTGATCTCTCCCTGGAAACTGTGCCACTTGGGGTCTTTACTGTCTCAGCTAATGGTAATTTCATCCTACCAACTGCCAGATAAAAACTCTCTCTCATAATATATATGTCCAATCTATCAAGAAATCCCAGTTTCTTTACTTTCAGCTATATATCCTGAAACTATTTCTCCCTACATCTACTGCTACTAACCTGATTCAAACCACCAGTATCTCTCACCTGAATGATTAAAACAACCTCCTAACTGATCCCCCTGTTAATGCACTTATCCCCCTACACTCAAAACTTATCCCCCTATACTCAAAACTGTAGCTAGAGTGTCAGGTCATGTGACTCCTCTACTCAAACCTTTCAGTGGTTTCCTATTTCATCAAGAGAAAAGCAATCTCCTTACTAAGGCACATAATGCCCTATATGGTCTGGTCTATTACTCTCCGTCTTATCTCTTACTACCCTCCCTTTTTGCACTTTCCATTCCATTTCCATTTTGCACTTTCCCTGGTCTCCCAGGACCCTGGGATCATGACCTGAGCCAAAGCAGATGCTTAACCAACTGAGCCACCCAGGCGCCCCATATATTCACTTTCTAATCCCCAGAATCTGTATTACCAACATGGCAGCAGATATGATATAAAGGATCTTAAAAGAGGGTGCTTATCCTGAATTATCTAGGTGGTCCCTTAAACGTCATCACAAGTATCCTTATAAAAAAGGGATACAGAGGGAGGTTTGATACAGATACACAGAGAAGAAGGTGATTTGAAGACAGAGGCAGAGATTGGAGTGATGCAGTCACATGCCCAGGAATGTTGGGGCAGCCTCTAAAAGCTGGAAATGAACAGATTTGCTCCCAGAGTGTGGTCCTGCCAACACCATGATTTCAACATACTTCTGGTCTCTAGAACTGTAAGAATAATTTTCTGTTGTTTTAAGCCAGAGTTTACAGCAGTTTGTTACAATAGCCACAGAAACTAATATAAGTCTAGTCTTACCCAAATACAAATATAACTTCCACAAGGGGAGAGACTGCTTATTTTGCTCACTGCTATTTCCCAGTTCCTAAAATAATGCCTGGCATATGGCAGACACTCAATAAATATTTGTTCAATTAAAGAATAAGTGAATGAAATAAACACCCTCAAATAAAACCATCTGATTATAGAGTCAATATCATGCCTTTATTCAGACAAAACCATTACTGTTTCTATGAGTACATAGATCAGGTAATATAAAAGCATACGAAAAACCTAGAAAGTTATACACAAAACTCTTAACAAAGGGGAAGAAAGAAAAGAATGGAGACTTTCTTTCTTCTTCTTTTTTTTTTTTTTTATATATATATAGAGAGAGAGATGGGGAGGGAGTGGGAGAGAGAGAGAATCTTAAGCAGGGAAGGACGGGGAGAGTGAGGGAGAGAGAGAATCTTAAGCAGGCTCCATGCCCAGCATAGAGCCCAATGCGGGGGCTCCATCTCACGATCCTGAGATCGTGACCTGAGCCAAAATCAAAAGTTGGACACTTGAGCAACAGAGTTACCCAGCACCCCACTGTAAAAAGAATATATTCATGCAATAGTTCTATAGTTAAAAACTAAAATATTTATTTTCTGATTTCAAAAACCATTCCACTCTCATCAGTACATTTTTAATATATTCTATCTTTCCTATAAATGGTTAACTACAATTTTAAAATAATGTTAATTTCTACTTTTATAAGAGATTGTTATTAAACTACCAATAAAAACAAGGGCATTCCTGAATCTGAAGTAGGCACATTTAAAAAAATTTTTTAATGGAAAAACAGAGGCGCCTGGGTGGCTCAATCAGTTATGTGGCTGCCTTTGACTCAGGTCAAGATCCTGGAGTCCCGGGATCGAGCCCCCCATCGGGCTCCTTGCTCAGTAGGGAGTCTGCTTCTCCCTCTGCTCCTCAACCTGCTCTCATCCTCTCTCTCTCTCAAATAAATAAATTCTTTTAAAAATAAATAAATAAATAAATAAATAAATAAATAAATAAATAAATGGAAAAATAACAAAGATTTCACAAATATAAGAGTGTCAGATAAACAATAAAAAAGCATAAGGACCCTCTCCACACTGAATGGTATACCATTTACTTGGAGACTAATAAAAACCATTTCAGAGAGAAAAGTTGAAAACCAGAGAAAGCAAAATAATCTGCAGCCTTGAGTGACTTATATATAAATGAAATAATAAAGAAAAAATATTTCCAACAAAAAGGGAGTATTTTTCTACTAAAGAAAATATCTTTACCTGCAGCATGTAGTTGATCTGCCAAATCATATAACAACTTAAAGTTCTCTCCACTCTTCAAACCCCGACCTAATTGAAGAAGATGGAAAAAAAAAAAATTAAGTAAACATAAACTCCATTCCATACAGCTGTGGAGATGATTTGTACCATGCTCCCCCTGGTGCCAGCAATACAAATATGCAACTGAGAGCCCAAATTGTGTTACCATCGGGCTCATTTCATTTTCCTAATTGGTAAAATGGGAATAATATTTGCAATCTTATCTACTTCTTACATTTGAAAAAAGAAAATCTGTGCTGCTCTAAAATAAATACTAATAAAATCAATTTTAATTTTACAACATCTTTTAAAATTAATAAATTACAATATTCCACTTACCACCAGATACCACCACTTTGGCACCAGTTAGCTCCGGTCGATCACTTTTTGTTAATTTCTGGTCAAGCCACTCTGCTATCCCCACTGGGGAAGGACTTGATACTGCGTACGTTGATACAGATAACAAAAGAATGACCGTGAGTTAAAATTCAATAATAGTAATTTTTAAAAGAAACACATAAAGAATTAATTCCATGAAATTTAAGTTTGTTAGTTACTGTGAATTTTTTGTGCTTCTAATTTCATTCTCTCTGATTTTTGGAAAGAATTGAAGGGATTAGATTCCAGCCTTCACCTCATTAGCTATATGACCTTTGAGAAGTCATGTAATTCTCTGAGTCTATCTATAAAACTGGAATAACCCTCCATGAGGTTCAAATAAGCTATCTATCTATCTATCTATATCTATCTATCTATCTATCTATATTAAAGAGTAACATCCTCTATAAATTCACTATTAATTATATTCTTCTATTATATGGAGTCTCCCAAGTATTATAATAGGAAACAGTGAGAAAAAAGTAAAGCAACACCCCTTTGATCTACGAAAGCAACTATACCAATACCAAAAATGATATGAAAAAGGCACATTATAAATATTTCTTCTTTTTGGAAAGCTTGGGAATATTATTTAGACTGAGCTCTCAGACACTGTTTAAGAAATTTAACCAGAGGCCATCTCTTATTCTAATATAATCAGTGAACTAAAAAACAAGAAACAAAACAAACTTCAAACGAACACTCACCCTTTTCTGAACTGGCACTACCTCCACTTGTTGCTGCAGCTTCAAAAGATGTTCCTCGGACAGAAAACACCTTCACTTTCTCATCACACTTCACTGTACATAAAGCATTTCCTGAAATACACAATTTATTTTTTTAAAAACACCCATGAAAGGCAAGTAACCCTTTGAGATTCAGAATTTACTTCATGAAAAGAAGGAAGAAATAACTATGAACCAGTTGTTTTCTACCTCTACCAAGTACAGAAAAAAGGACCATAATACTTAAGAAACTTATCAGTGGATATTTGTATAACCTTGGATGTTTTATTTAAAAGCAGGACAAGTGCTGACCTGCCTGGAAGCAAGAAATTGGAATAGGCTAGGAAGCCACACTAATAAGGTGTACTCTTTCTAAAAGGAATATAAACAAAAGCTTCCTTCTCCAAAAACACAGTAACTCAAGAATATGAGCTGCAACAACTTAAGAATGCAGCTACTAGGCTTACTAAGAGAAGAAAATAAATGAAAACATGATAGGGCAGGGGCACCTGGGTGACTCAGTCAGTTAAGCGTCTGCCTTCAGCTCAGCTCATGATCCCAGGGTCCTGGGATGGAGCCCGGCATCGGGCTCCCTGCTCAGCGGGGAGTCTGCTTCTCCCTCTGCCCCTCTCTCTCCCCCGCTCATGCGCGCATGGGCGCTCTCTCTCTTTCTCTCAAATAAATAAAATCTTTTTTTAAAAAAGAAAGAAAACATGATAGGGCATAAAGAACAAGAGGTATCATGTGCCAAGACTTTAAAAGAATTTAAGACATTTCTTATGGGTTAGCAATCACATAAGAGCAACCTAAACTTGACCAATATTTCCCCTCAAACTCTATTAAAGATGAAAGATCTAATTTGAGAACTGACCATTAAATTGAAAACACACAACTTCAATCAGAAAGAACAAAGAGTTCACTACTTTTTCTAGCCGCACTAGAGACCAGTGTGCTTAGCAGAAGATCAATCAACTAAAGAGACACTGAAATGAATTTCTTAATGCAGATGGAAACGGAGTAGAAGCAGTGAAGATTAAGAATACTATTTTTTTTAATGGAAAAGTTTTGCCTCTCCAGGTGCCACTAGTGAATCTAATTTTTATTGATGACTGGAAAAATCTCATCGCTCTGTAAACTGAATAACCAAGCAGGAAAGAACTGTGCTCTGGATCTATCAAACAGATTGTCATGTCATGGTCTAGAAGCAAATCTAAGATTAAGATTTTTCTCAGAAACTTTTAAGATGGTCCATTTAAAGCAAGTGTATGACTTGTTTAAAATACTAACTTTAAATTAATTTCTGCTTTTAAAATTCATGAAAAGTTAACATGTTGATTCATTATTTTCCTTGGGTACTCACCTGCGTAAATAGTTCTCACAAATATGTCAGGAGACTTGATTGCAATGATGTCAGATATTGGGGCAACATCAAGTTTGGCTGCTATTCTGGGCAAAAGGTTCTAAAAGCAAAAATAGCAGTAAATTACACATATATACTTATGGATAGCTATCAACTATCAACACTAACATTCTCAAAATGCATATTCTGCAGAAATTTTAATTCAAATATTTTATAGTTCATATGCACCTTTAGACATACTATAACTTCCAGCACAACTTTTTGGATAGTCTTTGAGATTAAGTAAGAGTCTATCATTACTCTAACTACATCAAGAGTTTTATGAGTTTTAAAGTAATAAACCATCTTAACTCATTATGTTGAATTACAAGATATGATATTTGCTTTAATAAACATCACTCACAAAGTGTGACCATCATGGATTACTGAATTTAGGTAAAACAGAAAAATGTTTAGAAGAGTAGTAAAATTCTCAAATACTAAAACAGATTATATATGTATATATTTACTTAATGTATATGAAAGAAAAAATTTCAAAGCAGACATTTTCACCTTTTTAAAAACTCAGTATTGCATTAAAAAAGATCGAAACTAACCTAAATATCCATCATCAGGGGATAGGTCTATTAATTATAGCTCATCCATATAATGGAATCCTATGTAACCATAAAACAAACAAGAATGAGAAAGGTGAAGCACAGCCTATATAATCTGTACAGGAGGAACAAAATTAATGTAAATGTTTTTCCTTGTATGTGCACATAACATCTCTGAAATAGATATGTGTGCTGACTTTGCCCTCACTAGCAGAGATCACTGGGAAAGTATCCCCAGGTCTCAGTTACTTCACCTCATAAATGACAGGAAGAGAATTCCTGGTTTTAGCCTAAAATTCTATGACTCTAGGACTCTAAAACAGAGTTAGTGAAGACTGAATGTCCCTATTTTCTAGTCTCAAAGGTTTCCTTAGATGATAACATCATCAAGTGTAATAAAAAAAGTGAACTGTTGCTTTTATTTTTTAACTTAAAGATTTATTTATTTGAGAGGGAGCACACATGCACGTGCCCACGAGCAGGGGTGCGGTACAGAGGGAGAGGGAGGAGCAGACCCACCACTGAGCAGGGAGTCCAAGGCGGGGCTCCGTTCCAGGACTCAAGAGATCATGACCTTAGCCGAAGTCAGATGCTTAACCCACTGAGCCATCCAGACATCCCGCGTTGCTTTTATCACACAAATAGAAAGCTGAATTCTACACTGCTTTCTACACAGAGCTTACTCCATGGCATCTCCTGAACTTGGTACATGACACCATCTCTAGCAAACGCTCACTATAACAGTATTCAAGTTCCTCTCCTCCATTCCATCCCCAAATCCTCTTTGTTCTCTAAGAATTCTCCCAAGATTACCCTCTAATTACTCCTTTATTCTGTATCCTCCTACATGCATATACAATTACATTATTTAATTGGCACTAACATGTAGTTTGTTTTAAAATAACTTGAATAGGGGCGCCTGGGTGGCTCAGTTGGTTAAGCGACTGCCTTCGGCTCAGGTCGTGATCCTGGAGTCCCGGGATCGAGTCCCACCATTGGGCTCCCTGCTCGGCAGGGAGTCTGCTTCTCCCTCTGACCCTCCTCCCTCTCATGCTCTCCGTCTCTCATTCTCTCTCTCTCAAATAAATAAATAAAATCTTTAAAAATAAATAAATAAATAAATAAATAAATAAATAAATAAAATAACTTGAATATACATACTTATAATGACCCTCAACTAAACTTAAGCACTCCCAGGGTAGAGGTTTTATGTCTTCCATTCCTCTTGTGTCCTACCCTATATCTAATAAGTGGTTCTATATATACTGATGCTAACAGGTGTTGATGGCCTGAGTCAATTTTCCTTGTGTTGTATCTACAACAGGAAAGATTTTCTAATTTTCAGTTTATTTTTACCTTTATTATACAGCAGTCCTCTTTCAACCATGACAGGAAGAACTACTGAAAAGTACCACAGTTTATAAAACCACAAATAGAAAAACATAAGATCTCTTAGAAAATAAAGCATTTGGGAAAACAATTAAAATGCCATTAAACATACTTCTAACTTGGTAAGTAAGTTTAGAAGATACCTACTTTCGAAACAAATCAAATTTGATAGTATTTAAAGCCTGCTTCGCTAAGTAACTCTTTTTTGAAATCACCTTCTTTAACTATTCAGGAAATACCACTGGAATATTGTTACCTGGCTAAGCAAATTCTATTACAAACATTATGTTATGCAGACTGTGTCTCTTTTTATAGTTTTTAACTTTCTAAATTGCTTGAAACTTAGTATCTTTTGTACTTCCATTATTCCATGTTTCATTTTAGCACACCTTGAAAAAACTTTACCATGGTGCTTTAAAGGCATATGTTTCTCCAGGTCTGATCTTTCACTTAAATGTCCTGAGAGGGTAGATGGTGAACAGATCTATCTCTACACTATCCAAACAGGCTTGACCACATTGGTTTCAGGGGAAAAACCTCTCTCTCTCTCACTCTCTCGAATGAATAAAATTAAAAAAAAAACCCCAACTTTCGTATGTTACAACACAGCAATCAAGGTCAGACTATTAAAATCTAGCTAATTAGATGCAACAAACACCCTTTCTTGGTTTAATAATCTTTTCAGAGAACTGTCACCACAAACTCAAGACTCATGAAATTTGTTTACATCATCTAACACAGAATCAAATTCTCAGAGATAGAATGGTCCACAAAGATCTTTTAGTTCAATGCTCATCTATAACATAAGTTGGATTTTAATCCTCTGACTTAATCTTCTCCAGAGTTAGGGAAGAAACCCATCCCCTTTTTTTTAACATCTCTCTTTGGTAGACCTTGGACATCACTTGGTCATACTGCGTCATTTTACACATAAGAAAAACAGACTTCGGGAAGGTAAAATGACTAGCCCAAGGTCATATAGGTCTGTGGAACCACTTTACTTATCAATTACTAAATTCTATAAAAAAACTAAAAATTTATAATAGTCTATAATGTGACAACCTAATAATAAAAGGATAATTGTTCATTAAACTCATGTGTTTACATTGTTACTGCCTAGAAATTGTTAACCTTAAAAGAAAAAATTTAATGAGTTCAAACTGATAATTCTAAAGGTTAAAAACAAACTACAGCAATTTACATGGTTATTCTGCAAGTTCTCTACATGGTTTGCCGTGATTCACGTCTAGAAGCAATACTGCACCACAGATAAATATTCACGAACACTACTCATTTTGCAAAAAAAGAGATCGATGTCTTGGAAGCTCACTGTTATTGTCACTCAACATGATTATTTGATATAAGAGATTATATCTTATTCCTCAACTTATACTTTAAAATCAGTTACAACAGAATTATGAAAGTAAAAGGAAAAAAGTTAAATCAAGACAATTCAAAGAAGAAATAAAAACCAATAACTGTATGAAAAGATATTTGATCTCATGATCAAAGAAATGCAACATTTTTTTTTAATATTTTATTTATTTATTTATTTGAGAGAGAGAGAGATAGCGAGAGCAGGGACACAAGCAGGGGGAGTGGGAGAGGAAGAAGCAGGTTTCCCTCTGAGCAGGGAGCCTGATGCGAGGCTCGATCCCAGCACCCTAGGATCACGACCTGAGCCGAAAGCAGATGCTTAACGACTGAGCCACCCAGGCGCCCCGAAAAGAAATGCAACATTTAAAAGGATACAGTTTTTCACCCATCAGATTGGGGGAAAAAATGTTAAAATGTACAATACCAGGTGTTGGCAAGTCACCCTCTCATGCAACCTGAGACATCCTCTTAAGATAGCAATTTAGCGATATATATCTCAACTTTAAAAGTACATAGTCTTTGACCCAACTATTTCACTTCTAGCAGCACATGTATACAAGGATGTATGTACAGGGACATTTCCTTATGGCAAGGTTTACAAATGCAAAAAATTAGAAACAACCTAACTGGTCATCCTTGGCTAAATTTGGAGTATTAGGCAGCCATAAAAAAAATGAGACAGCCATGTCTTATTTTTCAAGACACACTCTTCTTTTTTTTTTAATTTTATTTTATTATGTTATGTTAGTCACCATACATTACATCATTAGTTTTTGGTGTAGTGTTCCATGATTCATTGTTTGCATATAACACCCAGTACTCCATTCAATACCTGCCCTCCTTAATACCCATCACTGGGCTAACCCATCCCCCCACCCCCCTCCCCTCTAAAACCCTGTTTGTTTTTCAGAGTCCATAGTCTCTCATGGTTTGTCTCCCCCTCCGATATCCCCCTCTTCATTTTTCCCTTCCTACTATCTTCTTTTTTTTAACATATAAGGTATTATTTGTTTCAGAGGGAGAGGTCTGTGATTCACCAGTCTTACACAATTCACAGCGCTGACCGTAGCATATACCCTCCCAATGTCTATCACCCAGCCACCCCATCCCTCCCACCCCCCACCACTCCAGCAACCCTCAGTTTGTTTCCTGAGATTAAGAATTCCTCATATCAGTGAGATCATATGATACTTGTCAAGACACACTCTTAAGTAAAAACCACCAGTAACAAAACAATTCATAATATATTATTACATTTTGGGAGTAAAAAAAAAATTTATACAGGTATTATAATTTCAAAATCCATAGCAAGGGGACTAAAAGAATGTACAACTGTTAACACTGTACTTCTGAAACAGGAAGACGGAGTTGGGAAGAAAGGGGGACTTTGACACCTTGCTCTGCATACTACTATACTATATGCATCCTTTATAATAAAAATGTATTTGTGTACAACCTAATTTATAATCTTTAAAACTAAAAACTGCAGCTTATTAAGAATGGGATAAAAGAAAAGGGAATTAGAAAACCCAGGGCCACAGAGAAAGCAAGAACAACCCAGTGACAAATTCTCTTAGGCTCCCCCTTAGTTTCCCTCCATCTTTTTTAAAACTTCGTGCAGGTAACTAACCATCTGATAGCACATTCTTTCTTCAGACATATCACAATGCACATGATCAGATTACAGCTTTCTTTACCCTAAGGATGTTTCCAACTACCACACAGCCCTTCCAAATCCCCCAAGGAGATAGAATTTGGCCTTTGTAAATATCCATCAGCCACCCAAATAAACCACTGCTTAAGATGGGTTACTACTACAAATTACATTTACAGGCACAGACAATTCAACATTGTTTTTAAAGAAAAATAATCTTTAGGAGCGCCTGGGTGGCTCAGTCGTTAGGCGTCTGCCTTTGGCTCGGGTCATGATCTCAGGGTCCTGGGATCGAGCCCCACCTCGGGCTCCCTGCTCGGTGGGAAGCCTGCTTCTCCCTCTCCCACTCCCCCTGCTTGTGTTCCCTCTCCCGCTGTGCCTCTCTCTGTCAAATAAATAAATAAAATCTTTAAAAAAAAAAAAAAGAAAGAAAGAAAAATAATCTTTAAAAATATCCTAGAGTTTTCTCCATGACAAAATTTGAAAATCTGGAAGTGGCATTCTAATAATTATGACAAAATCTTGAAAGAATAGAGTTGTCTCTGTGAAAAAATTTGAAAATGTGGAGATGGCATTTTTACAGAAATTTTAACAAAGTCTTGAAAGAATAAATTTTAGCAAAACTACCATATTAATTCAGAAAGCCAGGATTAGCTACCTAAACAGAGTCTGTTGTACACTTTCAGCACAATGAACGCTAACGCCTTCCAAGTAATAACATCAGATTCCACATTCTCAATCTTCTCACCTTTCCGAAGGCAGATGCTCCAGCACAGATGTGTGTGTAACTGAACTGCTTCTGAGTCACCAGAATCAATGGTGTCAGCTCCTCTGAGAATTGAACACATTTGATAAACACATTTCATAATATTTTCATATTCTTATATTCAAGCATACTTCAGACATTACACTTTTTCCACTGGAAAAGCTCACCTGGAAGGAGGCCTTTGTATGTATCATGCTGAGCCACCAGAACTTTTGCTACACCTGCTACTTTGCAGAGATCTTGTACCACCTATAATTAAAAGTTTTTAATTATCCATCTAACAGAAAGATACAAATAGAGCCACCACTACAAATATCAACAGAACATAAAATCTGATAGCCAACGACAGAAATAATTTTTTTTAAACTACAGAAATTGTTCTGAACAGAAAAAGGGTGACATAAGTGAAAAAAAATTCTTTAACAAAAAAAAAAATCTTAGGCCAATTGATCTTACTACCAATTATCTTAAACAAAAATTCCTGCCTTGGAAAAGAAAAGTATTAATTGATAAGCCAAAACTGGCACAGCTCTCTATGCAAATTTAGTTATAAATTGTGCTTTTTACCTTTCAATTAATGCAAGTATAAATTCATCACTGTACAAATGGTGAAAATGAGGCAATGGTTAGGTTCTCTCTCACACACACAATAATAACACAACGAATGGGTTTCCTAGAGGTAAAGAATAGGACCTAACCACACTGGTTTATAGGCCACTGCACTTTATTTGGCAATAATAATTTCTGCTGAATTTAAAATTAGTGAATTTAGGCAATAGAAAAATCTTATGTAACAGTCCATTGTCAACTTCTGAGTTCCTGCCCACCTACATATATTTATCTATGATAAAGCAAAATAATTTTTTATTTTAATTCCTCATTTTTCCCGTGTGGAATGAGAATGAAGTTCTGGGAAAGCTTTTTGACTACTCAGATTTCCTATATATAAAAGGCAAGTAGAATTCCCCCTTTTAATTCTCTAATTACAGCAAGACTGGCTTTCGCTTTAGCAGAGACCTAACAATCATATCATGGTCTCTGTCTTCTTGTTTACCTCCATGCTGATTCACTGATGAGTAGGCATAAAAAGCTGTGCCTCCTGCCCCCTACTCAATGGAAGGTAAGGCTGCAACAATGGTCACTGTTTCCCAGATAGCAAAAAGTACCTCTGCTGAACCAAGTATGGCAGACTATCCTGTACTACCAAAACTATCTTTTTTACCAGCAAAAACTTCTGGCACTACACAGAAAAATCACTTGCTGCTTACGATAAATGACTACAAAAAACAGTAGAAAACTGAAATCTGCCTAAGCTATTAATAGAATTTCTCTATACAGGTACTGTTTTTCTTTCAAATTAGAAGGCGACAAAACAATAAGATTGTAACTAAAGAGAAAATGGTTTCTGCTTCGATTTTTCTCAAAACAGTGTGAATAAAATAGCATTTCAAATAGTTTTAAAATATTTGAATAATTATTTAAAATCACAGCCAAATAATCAAACCCAGAACTTGTATATCTAAAAGCAGGGCAACCAAAAAAGATAGCTTAGCCATGTCATCACACCTTCTGGTTACTATCAAATAAATAAGATTCCTAGTTGTTAGCAGGATTTAGGTAAAGAAACCCATACAACTTAACCCCAAACCTGCTAGAATACATTCTTTCAGGATACTAATTTCATGTGAGAAATTAGACGGAAGTGACACTAGCATTCTGAACCTGCATTATAACACATGCTCTGCATCAATGCCCTTTAATAAAAAATAAATAAAATCCTCTAAAAAGAAACATGCTTTCTCCAGATTTCTTCCTCTGAGGTCTAAGTCCCCAACTGCACACTTGGCAATTCCTGTATGGTACGGGAGGGAATTGGTAGCTCAACTTAACTGAGGCATGATTTCAACTACACTGTAGCCCAGTGGTACAGATTCTGCAAACCATATTCTAGAACCTTCCTAGAGGGTTAGTTTACAAACCTGTATCTCATTTCAACAACAACAACAAAAACAAAGAACACCTTTTACTAACAGCTATAGTTTGAAAAGCATAGTACTTACATTTGAATTCTTACACCAATTAAAAATTAATATCCATGATACTTTGTCCAGATTTACCACTTTCAGGAATTAAACGCAATTAGCTGGTATATTCATCAATACAAAAAAGGGATCGGCTATTAACCTCTAAGGAGACTCAAATATTATCATTCTACTTGGTACCTGATGGCACATGATGGTGCCAGTGGAACTAAATCAAGTATTTTACCTCATTTCAAAAGACAAAATGCTTAGTGAGCAAACCTTTTAGTTCCTTTTTCACATGTAGTAATGACTATGACACTGGCCATTTAATGAGGATTAGAGCTCAGTTTGGGTTACAGTCCTCAGCATAATTCTCTGTGGCCATCTTTCCCTGTCTCTTGATGGAGATTATATTTGCTATGGTTGACCTTAAAAATTTCTCACCTTGTCACATTTGGTTCCAGCTACTAAGCAAGACACTTCACCTCCAAGACGTTTGGCTGCAGTGATGGTATTTAATGTAATGGGTGCTAGGGTATCATTTGCATGCTCGGCTATTACCAGGGTACTCTGAAATCGTAGCACTGAGGCCTAAAAGGGAAAAAAAGGTGGAAAAGAATATTGTAATACAAATAGGTTTTTAAAACTCTAATTATTAAGCATGTATGCTTTAAAAAAACCGTACACAACACTCAGTTCTATAAATGTATTTATAAAGTACTTACTCAATGGCAAAAATTAAGCTATTTGTGTCTATCATTCTATTACTAATATTCTTACTTAATAAAAACAAAGTGCAAGTTTGTATTCTGTTAGAAAAATTTAATTATTTCAAAACAACTTTCCCACTAATCTATGTTTCTGAATATTGTGTGTTCAATGAGAAATTGCTAACTACATCTAAATTTAAAATTCTTAAGTAGAGGGGCGCCTAGGTGGCTCAGTCAGTTAAGCATCCAACTCCTGATTTCAGCTCTGGTCATGCTCTCAGTGCCATGAGACAGAGCTTGGGATTCTCTCTCTCCCTCCCCCTCTGCCCCTCACCCCCACCTCCGCTCAGGCATGCATGCTCTCTCTCTCAAAAAAATAAAATAAAAATAAATAAAATAAATGTAAAATTCTTAAGTAGAACATATTACCTATCAAACTAGGAATCAAACTATTACCAATTACATCCACTTGCAGCACAACTGCTAAAGATACAGTATATCCAGAAATAATGGGTTTGAAATCTATTACTATAGTCAATTTCTATTGCTTTCAGGCAAAATGCATTCAATACCCAAATAACTGATAATGTAAATCTGTCTTTAAAATACAATACCACACAGTAATTTTGCTGGGGTTCCAACTGTTTAAACATACTTCTGAATTCAAAAAAGAAGCTTGCAGACCATATCTTGGAACCAACCAGCATCCACCTATATCTACTGTGGACTATCAAGAGACCAATAATAGTTCACGGTCATTGGAATAATTTCAAACACCAGGAACACAAAGATGAACAAGAATGGTCACTATACTCAAAGATTTTAAGGGAAATACGACTTGTTTACATACAATTATGAGAACAGTTTTTCAATCAATGAAGAGATCCAAAAGGCTGGAGGTTGCAGATCATGAAATATAGAATCAAGAGGAAGAAAGGAAGAATTTTAGGTGTTCCTATCATGTGAAAACATGAGGAAGGGCACCATAGATGTGACAAAATAAGAAAACTCTGGAACTATCCTTGTGAAAAATCACTATGAGAAATGAGAAAAGGAGGCACTGAGGATCAAGTGGCATGGTTGTAAGGCTTAATTCAGCAATAATCTTTAATCTGGAGCTGGAGTGAGGAAAGCATGGTACAAAATTTACACCAGAGCTGGAAATTTACAAAGGAGGGAATGAATGAAAGGCAGACAGGCATGGGACTATAATGCTCATTACACAATTAAATTTACAAAATACATATTTTTTTTCATTTACTATATTGTAAATACCAATTGCTATATTTTAATATTCTTTACCTTTTTATTGCTGTTAAGTATATGAGCATACCAGTTTAACCAGTCCTATAATCATTTGGGTAGTTAGTAATTTATTATTTTTTATAAAGATTTTATTTATTTATTTGAGAGAGTGAGAAAGCACAAGCAGGGGGAGCAGCAGAGAGAGAGAGAGGAAGCAGACCCCCCCACCCCCGCCCGGGGAAGGGAGCCCAACATGGGGCTGGATCCCAAGACCCTGGGATCATGACCTGAACAGAAGGGAGACGCTTAACTGAGCCACCCAGATGCCCCAGTAGTTTTATTATCATAAACAATGCAGGGGCATCTGGCTGGCTCAGTCAGTGGAGCATACAACTCTTGATCTCAGGGCTGTAGTTTGAGCCCCACATTGGGTGTAGAGATTACTTTAAAAAAATAATAAAATGGGGCACCTGGGTGGCTCAGTTGGTTAGGCGACTGCCTTCAGCTCAGGTCATGATCCTGGAGTCCCGGGATCGAGTCCCGCATCGGGCTCCCTGCTCGGCGGGGAGTCTGCTTCTCCCTCTGACCCTCCCCCCTCTCATGCTCTATCTCATTCTCTCTCTCAAATAAATAAATAAAATCTTTAAAAAAATAATAATAATAAAATGCATAAAAACCAAACAATGCAGAAAAGACCATCCTTACAGCTACATCTCTGCACTCATCCTCAACAAATGAGAGTTTTAGTCTTGAAAGACCCTTCTGATTGGAACCTGGCCAGAGCTTAGCTGCTCTCCTTCCATAGAAGACTAAGCCAGATTCTCTGCAACCTTCAACAAGTTATAGGGACCCTCTTCCCATAAGCTTTCTACCTGTACCAGTTCATCCTCAACCTTCTCCTCAGTCTTCTCAACCATCTCTATCCTTGATGAACCAATCCCAGAGCTGGGGACCAGAGACTACAGGGATATGCGAGAGGAAGGAATCACTGCATTATGTATCATGGATGGCATTTCTTGTCTTTTTCTTCCCTTTCTGTTTACTCAAAGGAAGCAAGGAAGGAGGTGGGGGGATGAGACTTTTGTTGTTGCCAGATCAAGTACCTGCTTGTATAACTTTTTTTTTTTTACAATAAAAAAAATTGCCTTCTTACAGGAGGTGGGTTAAAGTAAGAAATCTTTATGCATATCTTACGATTATTTTCTTATAACAAATTCCTAAAAATGTTAGATCAAGAGGTAGGCACACTTTTAAAGCTTTTAATACTGACTGACACAAACTGTTCTCCAGAAAGTTGTAGCAATTCACAACAGTTCACAATTCTTGGGATGGAATGAAAGTTCTTAGAAGGCAAATACCATGCCTATTCAAAGAATCCAGTACAATTTTTTTAAATATACATCTGTAGAAATATATAGTACTTTCTCTTTTTTAATCAGAAGATCACAGTATCTTTTACAAAGAATTCTAATTAGGACTCAGTGGCATAATTTATGATTTAAATCACATTTCACAAGAATTGCCAGTAACAAACTCCTTATTACCAATACATAACAGATACCATATTTTTTATTATGTTTCACACATCATTTATTATAAAAATTATGAGATTTCCATCACCATTTCAAGAATAAATCCAACATTTGGTGGCAGAAGGCCCATATTTGCTGTAAATTATAGTTCTATCATAAGATAAATTAGGCAGTTCTCCCAAGGAATCATCAAGGTTTTTGGAACTTCTAGGGGGACACTGTATATATATATTTTTTTAATTTTTTAAATTTTTTTAAAGATTTTATTTATTTATTTGACAGAGAGAGAGAGAGACAGAGAGAGAGGGAACACCAGCAGGGGGAGTGGGAGAGGGAGAAGCAGGCTTCCTGCTGAGCAGGGAGCCCGATGCAGGACTCGATCCCAGGACCCTGGGATCATGACCTGAGCCGAAGGCAGACGCTTAACGACTGAACCACCCAGGCGCCCTGTATATTCTTTTTAAAAGACTATTCAAAATTATAACAGTAAACAACAACAAAAGAACATACCTAAGAACCCACTCATTCATCTACCTGATCAATCTTTACTAATTACTATTACATCATATAGGCACTCCATATTACTTTATCACTTGACTCCTTACAGTTTTTTTTTAATTTATTATGTTATGTTAATCACCATACATTACATCATTAGTTTTTTGAGGTAGTGTTCCATGATTCATTGTTGGTGTATAACACCCAGTACTCCATGCAGTACGTGCCCTCCTCAATACCCATCACCAGGCTAACCCATCCCCCCACCCCCCTCCCCTCTAGAACCCTCAGTTTGTTTCTCAGAGTCCATCGTCGCTCATGGTTCGTCTCCTTACAGTTTTTATTTTTTAAAAAGATTTTATTTATTTATTTGACAGAGAGAGAGAGACAGCATGAGGGGGAACACAAGTAGGGGGAGTGGGAGAGGGAGAAGCAGGATTCCAGCTGAGCAGGGAGCCTGATGCGGGGCACGATCCCAGGACCCCAGGATCATGACCTGAGCCGAAGGCAGTCGCTTAACCGAGCCACCCAGGCACCCCTCCTTATAGTTTTTAATACTAAGCTTCTTTCTAACTCAGTGTTCTACCTTCTATTCCTCAGATACCACCGAAAGAGAAGCTACAGCACCTAAACATGGTTATGTGGCTTAACAGCAGTAATAGTTGTGTGTAGCAGAAGAAATTGGTCTGTAGTCTTTCAAATGTTATGCCTCAATCTAGAGCCCAGTTTCTTTATCTGTAAATTGAGGGAGATGAGCTAGCTCAGAGGATTTCAAACTACATTCCATATAAGACTAAGGGTGTCAGGGAGGCACACCTCAGGAACCACCACACAGGATAAAGTAAAAACCAGGCAAGCGGGGTTGCCAGAATGGCTCCCCAGCTCTGCTTTAACCAAATTAAATAAACCAAAAGATACAGATATTGGGAAAGAGTTGACCCTGGAACAACATGGGGGTTAGGGCACTGACCCTTGATGCAGTCAAAAATCTACATGTAACTTTTGACTCCTCCAAAACTAATACCCTACTGTTGACCAGAAGCCTTCCCAATAACAGTAGGCAATTAACACGTATTTTGTATGTTATATGTATTATATACCATATTCTTACAATAAAGTAAGCTAGAGAAAAGAAAATATTAGGAAAATCATTAGAAGAGAAAATACGTTTACTGTACTGCACTCTTTATCAAAAAAAAAAAAAAAATTCACATACAAGTGGACCGATGCAGTTCAAATCCATGTTGTTCAAGGGCCAACTGTGTATCTTACTTAAAATTCATAACTCTATGACGTAGGTATTATTATTACCTTGACTTTACAGATGAAGAAACTGGAGCTTAATGGCTACCTAGCTAGGAAGCAGAGCCTGTTTAAAAGTGTAAGCAGTCTGGGGTGCTTGGGTGGCTCAGTCAGTTAAGCAGCCAGCTCTTGATTTTGGCTCAGGTCATGATTTTGGCTCAGGTCATGATCCAGCCCCGCACTTAGCCACTTAGCAGGTAGTCTGCTTGAGGATTTCTTTCCCTCTCCCTTTGCCCCTCCCCCTGCTCATGCTCACTTGCTCTATCTCAAATAAATAAGTAAACCTTTTTTTTTAAAAAGCGTA